ACTTGTGATCGAGACATAACATTGGGATGTTCGGTATAAAAGTTCTTTTCAAACTTTGGAAGCTTGGAAAGATCCCAATCTTGTTTTGTTAATCCAGAACCTAACGCTGACATGCGATCACTAGAATATGAGTTACTTCCACCAGGACGGTAACTTGAACTGCCGTAGCGATCACTGTTATGATATTTATCATATCCAGGACTTCGTTCTCGATAACTGGAGCTGCTACGAGATTCATACCTTGATAATAAATATACTATTAGTTACAAAAACTAAAATAATATCTTATAAAAACAAAGTGGCGTGGTCGATGAAAAAAATTTTTTTATTACTCTTTGCGATCTCTTCGACTACGTTCATCATAGGAACGTTCAACCCCACGATCGGATCCATAACGCGAGGACGAAGAAGAGTTACCATAACCCGAGCTTTTATACGAAGAGCTAGTGTATGAAGATCCGCCACCGTTATTATAAGAGGATGATGGTGGTGGTGCACTGCTTCCTCCGTAAGCGGATGTTGATGCGCCATATAGAGTGCCTGATGGAGCAGGTACACCTGGAGGACCGAAGCTAGCATAAGACATGTTATTCTTGAGTCGTAAAAACAAAAAAAAAAGGTAAGTGATGGATGGGAAACAAGGGAAAAGAGGTTTAACTAGTAATTTGGTTTAGTGAACCAATCACCACTATCCTCAATAAAAAACCCAATGATCAGGTGATCAAAGAGTATAAAGCTGCTGATAAATGTTTGAATTGATAAAACACAATTTTATGTAATGATTAAAATTATTTGGAAATGTTTCAGACTTTAATAACCATACCCGAAATAAGTCATAATATATTTGCAATACTAACGTCATTACTAAGCCTAATTGTTAATACAAATACGTTTCTATATTATACTTATTTTATTTTATTATACTTTTATTTTGTTTTATATGATTATAATTATATTAGAAATTGCTTTATACAAATAAAAAATTTAATACTTAGTATTATACTACTTATTATAATATAGTTTAGTAATTTACTTGATTTTATATTATTTATAATGACAAGTTACTTTAAAAAGAAGAATTAATATGTATATTAAAATATACGTATATTATAAATTTTTTTGTTTTATTATTTACTAATCAAATTAATTTTAAAAAATAAATATCATATATAGTATTTATTAAATATATTAAATTTAAAAAAAAATTTTTAAATTAATTAATTATTAATTATAATTTATTAATTTATTATACTTTAAAATTATTTATTACTATTTTTTTTTTTAAAATAAGTAAATATTATTTTTTTATTTTTTATATATATAAATGTATATATATTTAAAAAAAAATAATTTCTTTTAGGTGCAAGGCATATAATAAGTTAAATACTAGCTTACCTACTTATATTATATTTAATTAATATTAAAAAGAAATTTTAGAAAAATATTAATTACTAAATATAGACTAAATAGCAGTTATATTTATCTACTTATAAAAAAAGTTAGGATATATAAAAATATATATATATATATATACAGTGCCGGTCATAAGTAACCGTACACCTTTTAAAAATTCAAATCTAATCCAATTGTTTTAAAAATGTTAG